TGAGTTGGAGTCTCACTCTGTCACTTAGACTGGAGTGCAGTGGCCGCTCCTGGCCACCGCAGCCTCGACCTGCCGGGCTCTGACGATCCTTCCGCTCAGCCTTCCAATTAGCTGGAACTACAGGCGCACACTACCACGCCCGGCTAATTTTTAAAAAATTTATTGTAGAGATGAGGTCTCGCCTGCCCAGGCGGATCTCGAACCCGCGGTCTCAGGCAATCCACTCACCTCAACCTCCCAAAGGTGCGGGATTATAGGCTGAGCCACCGAGCCCGGCTCATTTTGACCCTTTTAAAGTGGACAGTTCAGTGGCATCTAGAACATGGCTGCAGTGTTGTTCAACTATCGTGCCCATCTGGAGGCTTGCACTCGCAAAGCAGCTGCTCCCCCCCCACTTTCACCCAACCCTCTGCAGCCGTCCACCTGCCTTCTGCCTCTAGATTCACCTGTCCTCAGTGTCTCGTAGGAGAGGCATCGAGTGCCATGTGACCCTTTGTGTCTGGCTTCTTCCCCTGAGCTTGAAGGGCTCAAAACCCAGTGTTGAAGCAGGCGCCCTCCTCTTTATGGCCAAGTGGTAGCCTGCTGTCTGTTCACCTGTCGCTGGACATGTGGGCCATCTCTGCTTTCGGCTAGGAGTGTGCATGTCTGGGTCTCTGCTGAGCCCATTTCCGTTCTCTTGTGTACACCCAGGAGGGGGGCTGTGGGCCCTGCGGTGGGTCTGGTCTCTTTGCCTCCCATGGCAGCTGCCTCTTGTCCCTGAATTGGGCCTGAAGCCCCTATTTGATAGTCACTAAGTTTCTCTGGAGGTAGCTCTGAGCATGGCCCGAGGGGCTGCTTCACATTCTCTGTTGACAAATGCCCATTGACTTCCGCCGGCCTCAGCCTGGTCCCAGCTACTGACCCAGACACCCAGTTCCTGCTGGCACACAGGCCCCTCCGCTCCTCTCCTTGCCACCCCTCCCTCCCGGGTCCTCTGCCCGTAGCCTGGTCCTGCCCTCTGCTCCTGGCTCGAGCCACACTTCCCCGACTCTTCGCCCTTGTGACCGCTGCACATACGCAGGTGCACGTCATGATAGGCGGATGCTCGGAAAGTTTCTAGTGAATCCTTTCCCCCACAGGGAGACCATGCCCTCCAGGGCCAGGGCTGCACCTGGCCCCCAGGAGTTGCTGACAAACCCGTGTCCTTGATTCTCAGCATCAGCACACGTGTTGGCTGCTTTGAACACACAGCTCTTCCCAGGGAGTTTCTGCCCCAGCTGGGTGATGAAAGATGGGTGATGACGCCTGCTCTGGCTGTGCAGGTGGCCGGCGGGACGGGGTTCCAGCCACCCCAGCAGGTGTTCCATGTCAGCGAGGGGGACAGACAGGGCTGGTGCAGTTTGGTTTGCGGCCTGGTTTGAACCGGAGAGGCCCACGGGCTGGTGCTGAGCACCTGTGGCTGAGCGGTCTGGTAGTCCTCGGCAGAGAGGAAGGGGACTTGGAGTCACTCCACCAGGTCATTCTCCCAGGGAGACCATGGGGACAACGGAGGACCGAGCCATGAGGAGGAGCCGCAGACAGTGTCCAGCTCACCAAGGGCCTGTTCACTGGCCTCCACAGTCCCTGGGAGAGGTGGTACTATTGGGGCAGTCTCCTGACCCTTAAGAAGAGGACTTGGCCTGGGAAGGCTTGGGAGCCTTGTCCTGCTCTACACTCAGGTTGGAATGGAACTAGCCTGTGCAGGCATTGAGACCCAAAAGTCAACTTTGGTCCTGCAGCATTTTACTGAGCACCACCGTGCCCTGGAAGACAGTGCCCTGGAGGTGGGTCTGGGCTGTCCCAGGCTTATCACTTAGCGGCTGTGGGGCCTCGGGGACTCTGCTTCCCCCTCCACCCTCAGCTTCCTCTCATTGTAACTGGAGATAATAGTACCTCCTACCTCCCAAACTGTCATGGGGTATACGTCATGGCAATGCATGGAGAGCCCAGAGGCCAGCATGTCACCAAGCTGGTGGAATGGGGATGGTAATGGTGGTGGAGACGGGATGGATAGATGCTGGTGGCGATGAAGGTGTGGGGGTGACAGGGTGGATGATGGTGGTGGTGGTGGTGATGGTGGTAGAGATAGAATGGATGGACGGGTGAGGAAGGTGTGGGGGTGATGGGGTGGACGATGGGATGGACGATGGGGATGATGATGGAGTTGATGGTGACGACGGGGATGGATGATGGTGGTGCTGATGGTGACGATGGTGGAGATAGAATAGATGGATGGCCGGGCTCGGAGCCTCAGCCTGTAGTCCCGCGCCTTTGGGAGGCTGAGGTGAGTGGATGGCCTGAGCCCGCGGGTTTGAGACCTGCCTGGGCAGCGAGACCTCATCTCTACAATAAATCAAAAAATCAGCCGGGCATGGTATCGCGCCCCTTTAATTCTGGCTACTCGGAAGACTGAGGCGGAAGGATCGCCGGAGCCCAGCAGGTCGAGGCTACGGTGGCCGGGAGCGGCCACTGCACTCTGGTCTGGGCGACGGAGTGAGACTCCAACTCAAAAAAAAAAAAAAAAAAATAGATGGATGCTGGTGGTGACGGAGGTGTAGGAGTGAAGAGGGTGATGATGACGCTGACAGGGTGATGATGGGGATGGGAATGGTGCTGATGGCAGTGGTGGTGGTGATGGCGGCTGTGGTGAGGGGGGTGGTGTTGATGATGGCGGTGGTGGTGAGGATGGTGGCTGTGGCAGTGGTGTTGGTAGTGACAGCGTTGATGGTGATGGTGGTGGTGGTGGTGGTGGCGATGGCTGTTGTGACGATGATGGTGATGGTGACTGGCGGTGTTGGTGGTGATGGCAATGGTGGCGGTGGTGATCATGTTGGTGGCGATGGTGGTGATGATTGTGATGATGGTGACATTGATGGGGGTGGCGATTGTTGTGACGATGATGTTGATGGTGGTGGTGGTGGTGGTGGTGGTGGTGGAGGTAGAGTGGGTGATGGCAGTCATGGAGATGCACTTCCTGCTGGGCGTTTTCTTTCCCTCGCTTTTCCTCACTGTGCAGTCTTCCGAGAGCAGAGAAGAGAGGCTTTCCCCCCTTGCCTCTCGGCTCCTGGCTAACGTGAAGAATATTTGGGAGCCTCATTCCCACGCCCTGGTTTCTCTTTCAGGACATCGACTGGGTGCAGACCGAGAAGCACGTGTTTGAGCAGGCATCCAGCAACCCCTTCCTGGTTGGCTTGCACTCCTGCTTCCAGACGACAAGTCGGTAAGACAAGAAGGCGCCCTGGTGTTCTGTGGGTTTCTGGCGTGGGGGCCAGCTGTCTTCCGTGGGCTTCTCCCAACTGCAAGTGTGGATAGTTTGGGGCTGTCAGACTCTCTGTTCTCACTGGTTGGTGTCATATCTAGTAAATTTTGTGATCTGAGCTTCAGTAATTTAGTTCATTTATGAAATTCGTATTGAAAGCATTGGGGCAGGGCTGGGGCTGCCAGGGTGAGTGGGGAGGGAGGTTTCTATGCCTGTGCGTCCTCCGATCAGTGGGATGAATTAATAAGTAATAACAGCTCCACTTCTGAGCATTATGTATGTTGGAATTCTGTGGCATTAAAGAAGTCTGAAGACCAGTGGTCCAGGGCATTAAATACATGTGCTATCATGACTTGGATTCCCCTGATTTGTTTATTTGAAAAATGGCTGAATATGTTCCATGTTGAGTCCTCAAGACCACCCTAGGTTCATTGCTTGGCTGGGAGGACTTGGCGTAGTCGTGCTCAAGGCTGGGACTTACCGCACTGAAAGGATAAAGCAAACTTGGTGAGGGGAAGAGGTGTGTGGGGAAAATTCCAGAAGAAACCAGTCCCAAGAGTCCTTTCCAAATTCCTCCAGCAACAGACTGTGATGCCTTAGGGCTGTGCTGAGGGTCATGTGGGCGCCTTCTGGAACACGCACTGAAACTCTGGACTCCCAGAAGGAGAGCAGGGGTGCAGCGGTGTGCGAGGGTCTCCAGAGAACTGGTCGTGTGTGTGCGTGCGCTTGCATCTGTGTCGAGAGGGACTTATGAGAGACACTGGCGTGTGTGGTCATGGTGCCCAAGTGGTCCCACAGCCTGCCGTCATGACCTGGGGCCCGGGTGAGCTGCTGGTGCAGTGTAAGGGCTGGATAGCCAGAGGGCAGAAAGCATGGATTCCTGTCCAGGCCCCAAGGCCAGAGCGCCAGGGCTGCAGGGGCCGGAGGGCAGAGTTTGGCTCAGCAGTCAAACAGTGAGCAGATCCAGCCGTCCTCCCTGTCCTGTCCAGCCTCTCTGCAGTGGGACCAGGCCTCCTCCAGGAAGGGTGTCTGCTTTACAGTCTGATTCAGATGCTCATCTCTTCTGGAAGTGCCTTTTCTGTGGGGCTTTCCGATCTGGGGTCACCTGGCTCACCTCTGCACTTGGCCTTCTTCCAGGCCCAGCATCAGGAAACTTGGGCAGATCCAGGGACCACGCTCGAAAGCCCCACTCAGTGGGAACACACAGGGTCTGGGTTCTGCGGGTCTTCGTGGCACCAGCACCTCCCTCCTGGGCCTGCTCCCTGGGACTGCAGCCTCTGTCTCCTCTCATCGTCCTTCCTCTGCTCCCTGAGCTGTCCTTTCTGGGGTGTCCCCTTGTCGGTGCCAGCTGCTCCTTCCTCCTTGGGGCGGCTCTGAGTGGGGCTTCCAAGCGTGGTTCCTGGATCTACCCACGTTTTCTGATATTGGTTCTTAGCCAGTAGTTACGTGACCCTGAGAAAGTTACTTAACTTCTCTGTGCCTCAGTTTCCCCATCTGCTAAAGAGGAACGCTGCTAGCACTTACGTCGTGGATGTTGATGATCAAATGAGTCCAAACATGGATGGATGCAGAGAGTCCCTCACGTTCAGGGAGGGCCCTAAAAGCTGTCACTTTGTTACTGACTATGCCAGAGGTCAGCACCTCCCTAAAGGACCAGACACTAGGTGTGTTCCTGTGTGCAGCTTCCGTGGAACCTACTCTTCTGATACAATAAGCCATATGCAGCGATGCTGTGGCTGTGCCCCAGGGAGCCCATGTTTGCAAGCATGGCGAAGGCGGGACGGCCAGCTCAGATCCACACTGGTCCTTCTGGGCTCTCAGCAGACTGTGCCCTATGCTTTCCCTCTGAGCCAGTGTCTGGGGCTAGGTGTCTTGTGTTCCTTGAGGGACCGTGGGGAGTGGTGTGTCGGGGGCCATGGCCACTGGAGAGCCTGGGCTCCAGTCTTTGCTTGGTGGCTTTGGGGCCTATCCCACCCCCCGGCTGCTCTCTGCCGCCTCTGCCCAGGACCACACATCTGCCGCAGACGCCCTCCTCCCTGGGTTGCCCTGCGGGGCGGTGGGGCAAGCAGGCTGGGCGCTGAAGCGGCTGCAGTCACCCTCTCGCCCTGCCGCCTGGTGCACAGCGGTGCGTGGTTACGCCCCTTCTCGCTGGTGGCGGTCAGTTCATCTACTTCTTGCTGTGAAGTGTGGAGGACACATGACCTGCTCTCAGGAACCCGAAATGGCTTCTCTCCCTTTGGGGCATGGCCAGCGTGTGGATGGGAGGAGCTCTGGGGAGTGACCGGCAAAGCATGGGGAGCAGGGCTGGGCCCCTCATTGCACTTCCCACCCCCCCGACCCCCATCTGCCCAGCCCCATGCTCCTGCCTGTGAGCCACGGCGCACTGTGGCTGATGGTCGAGGAGGGACGGGAACTCAGGTCCAGCTCAGACTAGGACGTCGCACGTTCTGTCCCTGGCTCTGTGTCTGGGTCCACGGAGTTTCTCGGAGGGACTGTGCTGGGAGAATTTTGCGCTGAGAAAACATAAAAAGTTGCATTCAGGTTTTACCCGTAGACCCCCACAAAAAAAACTCCTTGGGCACAGGCCGGGCTCGGTGGCTCGGCCTGTAATTCCAGCACTTTGGGAGGCCAAGGTGAGTGGATTGCCTGAGCCTGTGAGTTCAAAACCCACCCAGGCAACTTGGCATGGTACATCTCTACAATAAATCAAAAAATTAGCCGGGCGTGGTAGCGTGTGCCTGTAGTTCTGGCTACTCGGAAGGCTGAGGCGGAAGGATCGCCAGAGCCCAGCAGG